GCTGTCATTATTTCTATACCCTCAATTGCCCAAACTCAAGCTAGAACGCGAATTGAGTGAAGGAGCAGTACATGAACACTTCACTATCCTCTATCCTACCACGGCAATATTTTCGATAGCCAACTGGCAGTGAAAACGGCAATGGCAGGAGCTGAGTGTAAATGAAGTTTATAGTTAATGATAAATTACGGTTACGGTTTAACAGTGGTAGAGCCACGCGGCAGCTTTGCTGTTGCACGTATGGGCCGGCTCAAACCGGGGTAGTACCACGACCTCACAGAATACCGGCGTGAAGTGGAAGCTCTGCTTCCGCGTTTCGTCTGGTGAGTGCAGGTGGCCGGAGGCCCAAATCCCCCCCCTCCCATCAACATGGTAGCGGAATTAAATAATGATCGACTACCCTAGGAGGGTACCAGCACCCCTGGAGAATCCCTCGCTGAGCATCCACGATCATGTTTCTCCACTTCTGAGCGTGGGTGCTCAGGCTGCCCCGCGTATTCTGGGGGGGGGGGGGCAAAATTCCGCTCAAGACTACAACTGCTCGGGGCAAACGGAGCAACATGACCAAGGCGACCCCTGCCACGCTGTCCGTGAATTTCTGCAATATCAGGGGACTTCACTCTAACCTAAACGCCGTCCACTACCATCTCGAGACGGCGAGGCTGGCTCTGCTCTTTCTGACCGAGACGCAGGTGTCCTCTCCGGCTGATGTCTCGTATCTCTCCTACCCGGGGTACAAACTGGAACACTCCTTTGTGCCTCGGGCTGGAGTTTGCGTTTACGTCAGGACGCCTCGGCAGACTTGAAGGTTCGGACCTGTCCATCCTTTGGCTACGCGTAGACAGCGACGACCATCCGCGCATCTACGGGTGCCTCTATAGGTCCCATAGCGGTAATGCCGAAACAGACCGACTATTCGACCACGTCCAAATGGCTGCAGATTCGTTGCTACAGCAGATCCCCTCCGCAGAGATCGTGATCCTCGGCGACTTTCCCAACGTTGGATGATCCCAACGTTGTTGCGGATTCTGTTGCTGATGTGGTACTTCAGGGTATGGAACTTTTTATTCCTTCCTCTGTGGTGCCCATTGGAGGCAAGTCTCAGCCATGGTTTGGTCGCTCCTGTAAAATAGCATCATGCTATAAGCAGGAGTGCTACCAAGCCTGGGCTGATGCATCAGCGTCCCGGGATGTAAACACCAGCGCTCTAAAAAAGAAGTATAATTCCGCCTCTAGGTCCTTCAAAAGAGTCATTGCCAAGGCAAAGTCAGAGCACATAGGCAGAATTGGCGAGAAACTAGTTCGCCTTCCTTCTGGAACCCGTGCATTCTGGTCTCTCGCCAAGGCTGTCCAGGGGAATTTCTGTCAGCCATCTCTTCCATCTCTGCACAGGGAGGACGACTCACTGACCCATACCGCAAAGGAGAAAGCCGATCTTCTAGGCTCTTTCTTTGCGTCTAACTCGACTCTCGATGACGGGGGGAGTACTCCGCCGACCATCCCGCGGTGTGAGTGCTCCATGCCGGAAGTGCACTTCACACAGCGCTCGGTTTGCAAAGCACTCCTCTCCCTGGACATCCACAAGTCGAGTGGGCCTGACGGAATCCCCCCAATTGTGCTGAGGACGTGTGCTCCAGAGTTGGTACCGGTTTTAACGCGTCTTTTCCGGTACTCCTACTCCCTAGGCGTAGTACCAAAATCATGGAAGACGGCTTACGTCCACCCGATCCCTAAAAAAGGCGACCGCTCTGACCCGTCCAACTACCGGCCAATCGCCATCATCTCCTTGTTCTCCAAAACAATGGAGTCCATTGTAAACTGCCAGCGCTAAGTCACCAGCTGATTAGTGACCGCCAATACGGTTTTCGCCGTGGTCGGTCAGCTGGTGATCTTCTGGTCTACCTAACTCACAGATGGGCGGAGGCAGTAGAGTTCAAGGGGGAGGCATTGGCCGTTAGTTTGGACATTGCGAAGGCCTTCGATCGGGTTTGGCACAAAGCGCTTCTTTCGAAGCTCCCTTCCTATGGGCTTCCCGAGAAATTGTGATACCATCCACACCATCTGGATGCTTGGCGGTCCACCACTGTACATTTCACAAGGAATTTTTTTCCACGTACAACCTCTCTGTGGAATAGTTTACCTCCGGCGATTTTTCCGGACCGATACGACCTGGGGACCTTCAAGAAAAGAGCTTACTCCTTTCTAAAGGGCCGGCAACGCACCCGCAATTCTCCTTGTGTTGCGGTTGATCATGGGCGGCGGTAGTCACTTAACATCAGGTGAGCCACATGCTCGTTTGCCCCTTCTTCTATAAAAAAAAAACGTGTGTGATGACCTCAATAGTGTTTTGTCTACATCTAACTAACTAATAGAGGACTAACATTATCTAATAGAGTTTTGGCGGGAGCTTTACCACCGGCGAATTGCTGTTTCATTTTTTATCGTTTAAAACAGCTGTCGTCGAAGTTTCACAAAAGCTTTGCAATTTGAAGTATATTGTGAAATGTTATGTGATAAAGAACAAATCAAATAAGACTGTATGGTCCAAGCTCTTGGCCTGCCTTACTTGGCGAATCGTATTAACTTATCTACGGTAGTTGCCACTTGTCAAACTAGCTAAGCTAGCGAAAAATATTTAAAAAATACATTACCTGTGTTGTAATATGTAAATGAAAATTTAAATGTAATTGAAATGTAATGGTGTTTATTAATCATAGATATAATTTAACGTAGGTTTCGGAGCCTTTCAGTAACTTTCTATTTTGTTTTTGGTGAATTTTTAATGAATAGTGGAATCAATATTTGCGATTGCATAATATGCCCGGTTAATTTTTTAAAATATGAATACTTCTAATGTTAGTCTGATTTTAAATACGTGTTTAAAATTAGATCGTGGTTTTCGTCATATACAGACATGTACTTTAAAAGCTGGCAATAAACTTGACCACCGAAGATTCTTTGGTTATGTTCACAATTGCTCGCGCTTATTTCATACAGCGCAAATACTTGGGCAGGCACAGAAAGATGGCATTACAGTACTTCCATCGCCGCAAGAGGTGAGTGAGAGTGAGCTATAATTTTGTACTCAAGATCGGGAAATGTTATTAATAATGTTAAGTATGGCACAGATCCTTCATCATTCCACACACTTACGTTTTTGGAAGTGTTAATTTTATTGTAAAGGTTATATTATTAACATTGAGGATATAGTTGAGACTTTATTACATGGACATAAACTTGGCTTGATTACTCTGTAGACTGCCCTGGGTCATGCTGTACATTTGCTTTCTCATGTAAATTGGGTAACTATATCTCTTACAGTTATACATATTTTTTATTATTGCAGTTTTAATTTTATTTATTTATAGTTTTATCATAAGCTGATTTATATGGGTTGTCAGGTTTTGATGAATGAAAAATAGTGTTGTGACTAAATTACTTAACAGAAAACAAAATGACTGATAGATAAAAAATAAATGACTGAATAGCAAAACAATATTTTAGGTTTTAAAAATTATGTCAATATTTATTTAAGGTCAAAACTGGTTTTTTTTTTGAAAACAAAAGGATAATACCTTCATACCTGACATGTTTTTTGTATGTGGTAGAGCCATGCTGCAGTTATATTAGTAGTATAGTTGTAGCACGAATGGGTCGGCTCGACCAGAGAAGGACCTCGCTCTCACAGAATACCAGTGTAAAATAGTAGCTAAATGCTGCTGTGTTTCATATGGTGAGTGTAGAGAACTGGAGACCCTTTTTACTGGAAACGAGGCATTTCATATTAGTCCTCATGGGTGACAACTCATCTGCATTTTGACTCGTAATCGGGGATAGATGTAAAAGTCTATGGGCCACAGCAACCTCTTACCATCAGAAGGGCTGTGTGCTCGTTTGTCACCCTATCCAATAGAAAAAAAATTCTAATGAAAATTGTTTAAAAATTTAGTGGTGAATACTTTGACAAGCAGTTGACGACGCTGAAACCAGAGTGATCTAGGGCACAATAGTATGTTTCTGAGAAAATCGAAGGAAATGCGTTAAGCGTTATTAATGGAAATCTATAGGCTTTTTATTATTATTTTTTTTGTTATATGTACTTCTAATGAGTTTTAAATAAAAAAATATCAATTTTTATCAGTATGAAAAAATAATACGTAGTTTTACCAAAAAAAAATCACTTAGATCACTATGGCAGATCACAAATTTAAAAAAATGAGAAGTTTTCACTTTGATGTCGTAAGAAAAATCACATTAATCATCACCAAATACAGCAGGCAAAAAAATTTCATCATCTTGTGCTTTCTGATTGCCACCTCTTCTAAGAACATGTGGTAATGTCAAGTAATACTGATGATGAATAGGAGGTACGAATTTTAGAGTTTTTCTAATATCTTCCATTTTTTGATACGATATTAGTCTAGTTTCAGGGGCTTTTTCTGGTATATAATTCTTTAGGTTACAAAAAAAGTTTCAGAATCCATATTATTTGGTTTTAAATCAACTGTTTCATATGTTTCAGTATAGTCATCATTGTAACTGATTATACTTGAACTTTTAAAAACCTTTATCTTCCGCATCTTAGAAATGTTTGCACCTTCTCTTAATACAATCTGATAATCTTTGAATAGTATTGTGAGGCTTTCATAATCTAGAAACTTATTTTTCATATCTCGCACAGTAAAAGGTTTTCTGCAGTCTCAGACGAGCTTCATCCAATCTTCTGGTTTATAGATCTTCAATTTTTTTTAATTTTATTCATATTTTTTTTATTTTTAATACAAATATTAAAAAAAAAAAAAACCCCCATTTTTTAATCAGTCTTCTTTTTTAGTTCTCGACTTATAAAAGAGAAGTCGGTATCGTTAGGCAGGTAAGTATGGCCACTGACAAGATAATGCCTGGTGATCATTTCTAAATATGGCGATTTATTAACCAGAAACATCATAAAGTGTAAAAAGTTCCAGTTTCTGTTTTGCCCAGAGCAACAGTCGCTAAAATCACAGTGATTTCACAGTGTCCGGCACGGAATCTTCTAAAAAGGAGTGAAGTGACGACATAATTTCTTGTGAGCCTCTGGCCCCACAATGTTCTGGCCACATATTCATGAGAACTTTTTCTCCTTCCTTAGTATAAGCATGAATACCAAAGTTCAGCATTTGCAGTTCTCTTAAATAATAGACCTCACCAGTATTCAAATAAGGAAGGGGCAGGGTTCGTTCCAAATCAAAAGTAGCTACTAATAACGATTCGTCACTTTTGACTTTACCTTTACAGTCATTTAATATGTTTCTTACTTCACCTGCAAGTTTAATATGCTGATCTTTTTGTACCCTTATAGCTAAGCATGTTTCTATATCTTCTTCTGCCTTTATTGCTATCTCGAGCATATCACAGGTTTTACAAGTATCTGCCTTAGGGCGGATTCGACCAAATTCAATGTTACTCCAGAGTAACTAACCCTCGAATAAATTTACTCCTTGTTCTTACTCTCGGATAATTTGGTTTGTGTTTTTCCAACACAAACGGAGAGTAGCCAATACTGGGTATTGTTACTCTAGAGTTGGGGAATGAAAAATGAATGAACTTGTAAGCCAACTAAAATCGAAATACATTTGTTTATATAGCGCAATGCAAGACTTTCTGTCTATTTAAAGTTTGCCGGATTATAATAGTGTCAACTGTCACTGAACAAACATTAACATGAAAATTATAACACGCGACTTGTCAGTTGATTATTCTAACCTTACCCTTATTTCTTATATTTTCAAATAAAATGTCTGGAGAAAAAAGAAAACGTAGCCCAAATTGGTTACCTTCGGAAAAGAGTTTGTTGTTAGGACTCATAGAAAAACATTTTCGTGTCATCGAAAATAAAAAAACAGATGGTGTTACGACGAAGCAAAAATTTGCCGAATGGCAAATTTTATCCCACGAATACAATAGCCAAACGACACACTGCTCGCGTACAGCAGAAAATTTAAAAAATGAGTGGGAGTATATGAAAAAAAAGGCCAAAAAGGAGGAGTCATACAGGAGGATGCATAGAATCCAAACAGGTTAGTTTTTATCCTGCCTTACCTTATCAATGTTTGTGTTGATCCAGTTATTTAGGCTAAAAACCTTTAAATCTTTGGTATACATTAGAAATATGGACAGGAGTAACTATGAGCTTATAACTGGAGGAGCAGCGGACTGAGATATGCCTACATACATTTATATAGTGTTAGCCACTACTGGGAACATGCTTATTCCAAAGATCTTTAGGTATTCAATGTACCATTATTATTAAGCACTTGATAGTACAATGCTGCGGTCCGATTAAGGAATTATTTCATGTGTAGTGTTCGCGTAAATATAAGAAATCATTATGATTTATTTCCTTTGTCTCCTACATAATAGGATTAATATTTATGTTAGAAATATTTTGAAAATGTGAGAAATGGCATACTTTAAATACTTTTACTTTAATAATTTTGTCTATTTTAGGTGGTGGACCAACAAATCCAAAGAAAGAAGATCCTCTAGATTCCAAAATCATATCATTAATTAAAACAAGTGCTGTTGGGCTTTTCAACCATTTTGACAGTGACAGTGTTGCCCCAGATAGCTTAGAGAGGCATAATTTTGCTGAGGTTCAAGTTATTTTGCCTGAGGAACCAGAATTATGTAATAAAGGTTAGTATCTTACAGCTTAGTCAAGGACCCTAGAGAAACCATACAAAATTGTTATACCTTTAAAATTTGGTTACAGATCTTGAGACTGAACTTAATGAAATTCAAAAGACTGGGATCGACTCGAACGAAGTATTAATGCAGGTAAATTAGTTTCTGTAGCTCTATACATTATACATCTGAAGCACCCATAGTATATAGTAAATATATGCTATGTTTTGTTATAACTTGCTAAACATAAGTATCTTGACTCCATTACAATAAATAGTTCGGAGTAGGTAAAGCCAAGTCTGTCATTTTCAGACTCAAACATTTTATTGCGTTCATGTGGTTACATAAATAGTTCTTATGTTGGATATATTAGAGCCAAACATGAGCCCTGATAGGGCGTAATAATATTATATTATATTATATTATGTTATATATCAATTTAATCTAATTAATTTAAAAAGATGAATTTTATTTACTTAAACTAAACATTACTTTTAGGTTTAATAAACATTTGCAATATTTACAAGGATATTAAAGAGGTATACATATATTCAAATTAAACAATTATTATTTTTCACCAGAAAAACTCTGACAACAAATAGAAACTGTTTTCAATTAAATATTTTTAAGCTCTCTTTGAAATTTATACAACGATTCTTCTTTTTGTAGACATTTGGGAATTTTATTATAAATTTTTACACACATACCATGGGGTCCTGATTTAACTGTTTGTAATTTTGTGATAGGTGGAGCTAATTTTTTAATAGGATGTAAAAAGTGAGGCCGGGTGTATATTGAAAAAAGGTGCATATTCTTTTTAACAAATGTGCATACTTCTATATATCTTCTATTCTTGCCATGCTGCAACCTGCCCTGTCAAATAAAGAAAGCCAGACTTGCCTATAATTTGTGTTCCAACATTGTAGTAGACTTGTTTTTAATTTTATCATTTAAATGTTTTTTGTGAGATGAAATATTATATGGGCATTATGTTGTTAACATTTTTAATATAAATCTTTGTTTTAGGATTGGAGTGATTATACTCCCGAAATGTTAAGAACTCCTGTTGCAAAACCTCTTCAGTATGACAACAATGAGCAAGAAGGAAAACTACAAAAATCTTGGGTTTCAAGAAGGCGACCTACATATGTAGCTCCTTCATCATCATTGCAGAAATTGCATGATAAGAAAATGGAAGCAATTGATTTTCAGAAGAGTGTTGCTGAGAAGGAGCTACTTCATTCAAATGAAGTTCACAATCTGGATTTACAAATAAAAAAGGGAACAATTAAAACAAGAAAAATTAAAGACCCGTATTTTATTATTAGATTTAAGATTAAAGAAAAAGCAATTCAACAATAAACAATAAAATATTAAATTTATTTATTTCAATGTTTTATTTTATACCTTTTTTCAAATTTGGATTAATAAAATTAAGAATCACTGCAATCTACATTCCATAGCTACAATAAACTATAAAAATAATTACTTATTAACGAATTGCGTGCTAACTGGCCAGTAGATTGCTGTGCTGATTCCGAGCTTTGCATTTGGCCAAGTTGTATAAGTTCATCCCATGGAGCTGGCAATAGCACTTCTGGGTCATCAGGTGGAAGTTGTTCTCCTCGTCTGCGCAACATGTTGTGAAGTACTGCTGTGGCTATGATAACAGTTAGTGCTTTATCTAATTTTACGCGCATCCCAAGTGCCAACACTGGAAATCTTCTTTTCCATACACCATAGCACCTTTCTATAGGATTTCTAGTACGAATTTGTGACTCATTGTACAGTTGTTCAGCTGGTGTCCTTGGATTTTCTAATGGAGTCATAGTGTAACTCTTTGCAGCATATCCTCTGTCCACCAATAATAATGCATTACCATAGCGACCAGTCTCAAAATGTGCTTTTCGAACGCTATTATTAAATATAGTGCTGTCATGAGTTGAACCTGGCCATCTTGCGACTATGTCGGTTATTTCTAAATTGGCATTACATATTGTTTGTACATTAGTGGAGTAGTATCCTTTTCTCTTTCTAAATGTCTCTGCTTGTTCTCCACCTACTACCAGTCTTAAGGGTACGAATGTGAGGCGAATGTGTGTACAGTCCATGGCTCCAACTGCTCTTGGAAAACGAGCTATTTGGTAAAATTTATCTTGTTCATATCTTATTTCTTGAGGCGATTCAGGAAATTTTATGTATTCTGTATGTAATGCAGCTATTGCAGCACTAACTCTGTGTACAATTTTGTTTGCTGTCGGTGTACTTAGACCACAGTAGTCTCCAATGCTTGTTTGTGTCCAGTTTGTTGCGTAATATCTCAAAGTGGCCAACAACTGATTTCCCCTCTTATCTCTTTCCGCTATTCCAGAAACAGATTTTTTATTGCGTAATGCATAATCTAATCTTTTGTTAGATATTTGTATGACCTTTAAAAAGAAACTTTTGCAAACTCTTTTGTCCAACAACATGAATTGGCGTACATAATTTATGCGGCTAGGATTTTGAGCATTTTGTCTTTGCTTACGGCGTTTTGGTTCTAAAGTCTTAATGGTGCTGCACAACCATGTTGTTTGAGCATCCCATGAGGTGAGCTGATAAAACATTACGTGTATTGCTTCTTGATTTTCAGATGAAACCTGCTCACTGCATTTGAACCTACAGCTGCATACAACTGGTGTAAATACTTTAGCTGGGACAATACTACCCGTACGTTGCGATATTCTTGGCCTGCAGTTCTTTTTGGCTTCCTTATATTCTTTGCCCATCTGTCGAAATTCCGAACTCTTTTTTTCCTCTGACAGGTTCATCGGAATCTGGATGATTTATTTACCCCAAGTTACCTATAGGACCCTCTGGATCTCTTCTTTCTTCATTATCTGTAAAGAACAGCATAAGCTGTAACCCAAGCCCAAGTCAGATTCAAACATGAAGCAAAAACGCAACAGACGAGTATTTGCTTATAAAAATAGGTTATATTAAGGAAGTAGTTTATTAGAGTATAGCCTTATAAGTATTTTCGTGCTAATTGATTAAAAGAACATAAGTGTAAGTCAAGCAACAATATTTGAAAAAATATGATTCTGAAATCGAACTGTAAATCACACAATAAAAGTAAAATCTCTCCAGCCCTTTATATTCGACAACAATACATACCTTCACTGTCTTCTAATTCTGTGGAAATTTCTATATTTTGCTGTGGATGGTAACAAGAATGATCACTTGAAAAATCTTCATTTGTTGAAGTCGATGAAGATGGCGGCGGCGAAGATTGCAATGCCATATTCACTATTCTTTTAGCTCTGTTTCTGTTATCCATTGTTTACGTCAATTCCTTCCTTTTTTGTCAATTCCTTTCAATTAAAATATTTAATAAAACAAAAGATAATCGCAAGCGCATGTGACTAAACCGAAATCAATATGACAAGTAACGTCTTCTTCTTCTTCTTTCTTTTTTTATGGCGGTTTTTGATTATTCGCCAATGTCAGCGTGGAAGTGTTTATTGAGTACAAGCTCAGTAGTTACAAATACTATGCCCAGGAACTAAAGAAGATTGTGATAATACAAGTGTCTTGTTTTATTTAAAAAAAATTAAATTTTCCTTTTTATCTTATAATACTAGTGGTTGTACTGTTGAATTACCTAGGACAAATGACAAACACAGTTGCTATAACTACTTTAGTATATTAGTATTGACAAACATTAAACTTTTATACTATTAGAGTTAATAAAATCACACAGAATATATACATAAGGAGTGTTTGTGTAGGTTAAAAGTGAATCAAAATTTATAGGACGAGGGATGTCAGGAGGGAGGTGATCATAGAGTGAAGAAGATAATTTAGGACAGTTAAAAAAATATGGTCAGAAGTTCCCTCATCTAACCCACATTCGCAGAGGGAACTGTCCCTAATCCTCAGTTTGGCTAAATGTACTGGTGTACAAGCATGGCCAATTCGAAGTCTACAGATAGTTGATGTTAACTGTTTGTTAGCTTTATTAAATTTGAAAAACCATGGTTTTGGAGGAATGGCACCTTGTATAGCAGCATAGTGTTTACCTTTTATATTTTGAGTGGCTTTCCATAATGTATTCCAATTATTATTTAACTTCTTCTTTGCAAGTAACACTATGTCTGAAGAGTAAACTAAATTACATGGCAAACCATTTCGACTTGCATTTTTAGCCATCAGATCAGCTGTTTCATTGCCCTTGATGCCACTATGACCTGGAATCCAAGCTAAGGAAACCTGAATACCCTTGAGATGATATGTATACAATGTGTGTCAGGAGGGAGGTGATCATAGAGTGAAGAAGATAATTTAGGACAGTTAAAAAAAATATGGTCAGAAGTTCCCTCATCTAACCCACATTCGCAGAGGGAACTGTCCCTAATCCTCAGTTTGGCTAAATGTACTGGTGTACAAGCATGGCCAATTCGAAGTCTACAGATAGTTGATGTTGACTGTTTGTTAGCTTTATTAAATTTGAAAAACCATGGTCTTGGAGGAATGGCACCTTGTATAGCAGCATAGTGTTTACCTTTTATATTTTGAGTGGCTTTCCATAATGTATTCCAATTATTATTTAACTTCTTCTTTGCAAGTAACACTATGTCTGAAGAGTAAACTAAATTACATGGCAAACCATTTCGACTTGCATTTTTAGCCATCAGATCAGCTGTTTCATTGCCCTTGATGCCACTATGACCTGGAATCCAAGCTAAGGAAACCTGAATACCCTTGAGATGACATGTATACAATGTGTGTTTAATTTTGAGGATCAAGGGTATCTTATATTTACTTTGGAACTGGTTTGACAAAATTGCTAACAAACAGCTTTTGGAGTCGGTAAGAATAACTGACTTATTTAGGTTGTGTGCTTCTATATAAATTAAAGCTTCATAAATTGCCGTGGCCTCGCCAGTAAAAGTGGAAGAAATAGAAGGGCATTTAAAATTGAGGATTATTTTGTATCTGGGAATCCAAACGGCTGCTCCAGTGCAACTTTCACCTGACTTTTTGGAGGCATCAGTGTATATAATAAGCCAGCCTTTCCATAAGTTATCTATGACTCTACTTAGTTTACTATTTGCTATAGGGCAATCTTTCTCAATACCAAGGTCGAGATGGATATTTGGTTGATAAATAAT